CCCTCGAGGCCGACTTTGGATCAACGATCCGGACTGCCTTCTCCTCCGGAGCGAGGTGGGGGGTTTAGGGTTTAGGGTTTAGGGTTTGGGGTTAGGGTTTAGGGTTTAGGGTTTAGGGTTTAGGGTTTAGGGTGGGGGGCTTGCAGGGGTTTGGCTTTAGGGTTTAGGTTTTAGGCTGTAGGCTGTAGGGTACACTAACCTTTAAAAAATGCCCAGAGTTGTTTGTTGAATAGAAGCCCTTGTCCCGGACACGCGTTCTTAATTAGCCCGCCAAGCTCATGCAAAGATGGAAGTCAACCCAACCGACGAGGCACACGAAACGCAGATGTGCACAGACTCTCGAGGTCTCCACCACCCTAAGGCACTCAAGCCTGGCAGCCTTGAAGGTCTACGGAGTCGAGGGTTTAGACTTCAGGGCCTTCTTGGAGGTTCACGGCTGGGTATAAAGTGGGGTCATGAAAGTTACCAAAGTAAAGTTCCCATATCTGCAACCCCACTTATAATGTAACTACCCATGAGCCTCCAAGTACGGCCCCTAGACCCTACAAACCCTTTAAACCCCAAGAACCCTATAAACCCCTCAACCCTTGTAAGCCAAACCCTGAACCCCTTAAGCCTCTGAACCTCCTCAGCCCAGCAATCCCTTCAAAACCTTAAACCGTTTAAGCACTTGAGACCCTATAAACCCTTTCAAGCCTTTATCGGCCTTATGAATCCCAGAAACCCGATTGACCAGTCAAATCGACCCCTATAAACCCCTTCAACCCCTTAAACCCTATATAAACCCTTGAAACCCTCCACACCCCTAAAACCACCCCTAAAACCTAGAAGTGTTAACGGCCCTACAAAAGCCTATATAAACCCTGTAAACCCCAAACATAAACCCTAAAAAGCCGAAACCTTTGAAACCCTCCTAAACCCAAAAAACCCGAAACCCGAAACCCTATAAACCCGGTTAGCCCCACAAACCCAAAAAGTCAGCAACCCTACAAGCCCTATAAACCCTGCAAACCCTATTATAAACCCTAAAACCCGAACCCGAAGCCTAGAAACCCTAGAAATCCTGCAAAACCACATAAAGAGCATCAGACATGCAAACCACTCGAAAAAAAAAATATATATATATATATATATTTATTTATTTACACCCCATAAACCCTGTTTACCCTGTAAAACCCTCTAAACCCTCTAAACCCTGAAAACCCCAAAACATCACCCTAAACCCTAAACCCTAAACCCTCAACCCTCAACCCTCAACCCTCAACCCTAAACCCTAAACCCTAAACCCTAAACCCTAAACCCTAAACCCTAAACCCTCAACCCTCAACCCTCAACCCTCAACCCTCAACCCTCAACCCTAAACCCTAAACCCTAAACCCTAAACCCTAAACCCTAAACCCTAAACTAGAATGTGAAGTCAAGCCCAGGTGCCGCTGGGAGAGGCGCAGACGCTGGCGACGGTGTCGGCCCTCTCAGGAGGCCGCGCGGCGAAGAAATCCGAAGAGGTTTTGGGGGTTTTCAGGGCTTTGATTTTGGGATTTTTGGGGTTTTTTGGGTTTTTGTTGGGTTTTTTTTTTGGGCTTTTGGGTGGTTTGTTGGGGTTTTGTTGGGGGTTTTGGGGGGTTTTGGGGGGGTTTTTGCGGGTTTCGGGTTGCAGGGCTTCTGGGTTTTTGTTTGGTGTTCTTGAGCTCTATAGGGCTTTTCGGGTTTTGGGGATTTGGGCGGGGTGTTTGGTTTTCGGACTCGATTTGAGGTTCAGGAGTTTAAGCTGGCTACGCTCGATTCTGAGCAGCTTGGGCTCTTTCCATTTGCAGTCTTGCCCCGGCCCTGGAAACAAGCATGAGATCGTGAAGGATCAGGATCATAGTGCCAATATTTGCAGAAACAATCAATAGCAACTTCGGGTTGGGTTTAGGGTTTAGGGTTTAGGGTTTCGGGTTTAGGGTTCAGGGTTCAGGGTTCAGGGTTTAGGGTTTAGGGTTTAGGGTTTAGGGGGCGGGAGGTTCAGGAGCAGTTGACATCCGGACCTTATAACTCTTAGAGAGTTGAGTTGTGCAGGGCTTGATGCGCCACCGAGGTTCGATTATCTTCTCGGACGCCCTGTCGCACATTCCAGTGGAGCGATTGGCCATTCTGAGACTGGGCATGAAGTCGCCGCCTCCCAACCTGCCTCCCAACCTTAAGCCATGAGTCTTGGGATGTTCCCCCTTATGCTGCTGCTAACAGTGCTTAATAGGGACTACAGTACCCCCTTCTTGAAAAAACAATCCCTACTAGGGACTGTTCGTAAACGGAGGAACATCCCGGCATGAATCCTTCTTGGCTCCAGCAGAACGTGCGACTACTTGGTGAACGCATCGGCTCTGCCAAGAATAGGGTCAGGTCGCAATTAGGGTTTAGGGTTTAGGGTTTAGGGTTTAGGGTTTAGGGTTTAGGGTTTAGGGTTTAGGGTTTAGGGTTTAGGGTCCTGAACCGCAAACCCTAAACTCTGAACCCCAATCCCTAAACCCCCTAAACCCTGTAAACCCTGTAAACCCTGTAAACCCTATAAACCCTATAAACCCTAAACCCTAAACCCTAAACCCCAAACCCTAAACCCTAAACCCAATCCCTAAACTCTAAGCCCCCGAGATGTGCCTGAAACGCATCCAGGAAGGCCTTGCTACCTCCTCTGCCGCACGCCGCGCAGCACGTGGCATTCTCCTGGGGCGACGTTCCTAGCCAGGCGCTTCGACTCTGGCGTTGCAGGGGGTTAGGCATTGCAGGGGGTTAGTCTTGTTTGAACCCTAAACCCTAAACCCGAAAAATGGTGTATTTGAAAGCAACCTAAAAACCAATACAGCAGAAGCCCCCAGAAGCCCAAAAGCACGTCAGCTTCAAGATCAGACGGTGTGGTAGAACCCCGAAACTCAAATTCAATCTTCATCCCTTGAAAAAAAGCCCTAAGAGGCCCTCGACCTAAACTTCAACCCGATGCGTTTCCAGAGGTCGTCGCTGACCTGCAACCCAACGTGTCCACACTTGGCTCATGGCAGTTGGCCGGCGCGCCTGGGCCTGCAAAAGCGTTGCTGAGGGGGTTAGGGGGCTGGGGGTTTAGGGTTTCAGGGTTTTTGGGTTGCAGGGTTTTAGGGTTGCAGGGTTTTCGGGTTGCAGGGTTTTAGGGTTTTAGGGTTTCAGGGTTTTCGGGTTGCTTTGTTTTAGGGTTGAGGGTGCAGGGTTTCGCTGAATGCTATATATGCAAGAATGCCACACCTCCATCGAAGCCCAGGTGTTTTCGTGGTGCGCTGGACGCTTTGCTCGATGTAGTTGCTGATGCGATGCTGGGAGCTGCACGGGTAGTTTTCTGTAGGGTTCGCAAGGCTAGGACTCCCAGAAGTACCCTTATTCCCTTTTTGGGGGGTTTAGGATCCCTTATAAACCCCTTTAAGCAAAAAAGAGCACCCTTTTTAAGCCTAGGTTACTGGGCAGCCTAGAAGGGGACTGACATGGTCCCTTGCGCGTTTTGAAGGGTTCCGAAGTATGGGCCACTATGGGCCAGTATGTTATCGGGTATCCAAGAGGCAGGTAAGGGGTCCCCGGCTAAGGGCCCATACAAAGGGACTGTGTATCTCCCTAAGCCCTAAACCCTCAACCCCAAACCCTAAACCCGAAATCACACAACCAGTTCTTCAGAACCTGGAGCATTTAACCTTGGGAAAGATACCGTCTGCTCCGGCCAGGTTTGTAAGCACCACAAGTACCCTCTGGACACCGCAAACCCTTACATCTCCCGTAAACCCGGAAAATGAAACCCCACGCCCCCAAAACATTGGGGCTTGGGGTTTAGGATTTAGCACGTAGGGTTTAGGGTTTAGGGTTTAGGGTTTAGGGTTTAGGGCTACTGGGCTTGCGAAGCCCCAAAGGCTTCGGTCCACCAAGGCCGCGAAGTGAAAGAGTTGCACCTCGAGCTTCCCGGCCCGGAGGCCGCCAGTTCGCTGGTTTTGGGGGTTTAGGGTTTAGGGTTTAGGGTTAGGGTTTAGGGTTTAGGGTTTAGGGTTTAGGGTTTAGGGTTTAGGGTTTAGGGTTTAGGGTTTAGGGTTTAGGGTTAGGGTTTAGGGTTTAGGGTTCAGGGTGTAGGGTGTAGGGTTTCGGGTTTAGGGTTTGGGGTTTAGGGCTTAGGGCTTAGGGTTTAGGGTTTAGGGTGTGGGGTGTAGGGTTTCGGCTTTAGGGTTTGGGGTTTAAGCTTAATTTGAGGTTGGGGCTAGGGGCTTCCAGGGGATTTGAGGTTTCGGGATTTTGGGGCTTTCGGGTTTAGGACTTCGAAGGGTTGCGGCTTGGGTTGTGCGGTGTTAGGGTTTGTTGGGGGTCTTCAGGCGATGTGGGTTTAGGCGCTTTGGGTTCAGGCCGGAGAACAAGCATAATGCTTGTCGTGTTTCGGCTTGAGGTTCGCGCAGGCGGCCCTGAACCTTAGACGCAACTCGCAACTTTGAGGCCGAACCTAGTTCAGTTCCGCGGTTTCGTTTCTCTCAAGCAACCCACCCTCGAGACACCTGGCCTTAACCCCTCCAGTTCCGAGTCCTCCTAAACCCAAAAGCGGAAAACCCTAATAGGGTTCGGGTTTAGGGTTTAGGGTTTAGGGTTTAGGGTTTAGGGTTTAGGGTTTAGGGTTTAGGGTTTAGGGTTTAGGGTTTAGGGTTTAGGGTTTAGGGTTTAGGGTTTAAAGATACCCCGGCAGCCGAAAGCAACCAAGAGAACAGTCTGAAAATCCAGTTGCTTCGCAGCCGTGACACTCTGAGCTGGCAACTGCCGTGATTCGCCAGTTCAGGATGTAGGAGGGTGTAGGGTTGAGGGCGTAGAGCTCCCTACTTTCCCTCACTCCCAGAACCCACATGTGTTTTGGGTGAGCTCTACAAGCCCTGTCACCCGAAGTTTAGGTTGAGGGTTTAGGGTTTAGGGTTTAGGGTTTAGGGTTTAGGGTTTAGGGTTTAGGGATAGACCTCAAGCCCTGTCCAGCCGCAGCCATGACTGACACAACTGCGGTGCTGAAGGGAGTCCGCGAGAATATTCGAAGGGAGCTCTTCGAAAGCGTGCTGCCGTTCTGGGACCGCTGGGCTTCAACCTCGGGTGTCGGGTTTACCCCTGAGACCCGAAAACCCGCCCTAAACCCTAAACCCTAAACCCTAAACCCTAAACCCTAAACCCTAAACCCTAAACCCTAAACCCTAAACCCTAAACCCTAAACCTGTATTTTTGAACCCTAGGCCCAAAATCTTCCCTAGCAAGCCCGGGAAGCTCGAGTTCATCGGGCTGATGCTTGAGTTTTAGAGTTGAGGGTTTAGGGGGGTGTAGGGCTGGAATGCTGGAATCTCTGACTTCTGCTTTCCGAGCCTTCGCCGAAACCCTGAACCCTAAACCCTAAATCCTAAACCCTGAACCCTAAACCCGAAACCTTGCTGCGACAGGACCGGCACAGCGTAGACCCGGAACTGGGCGGCTTCTTCGCCTGCCTGGACCTTTCCTGTGAAAAAAAAACGCCCAAAGCATCTAAGTACAGGACCCAGAGGGTTTTGGGGTTTAGGGGTTTAGGGTTTAGGGTTTAGGGTTTAGGGTTTAGGGTTACGTAGGAGGGGGCCCTTTAGTCATTTGGGGGGGGGGGGGTTTAGGTTCCGTTTAAACCCCGTGGAAAAGGGTACCGTGTTTATCCCAGTCACTCTGTGGTCCAGGTGTTTATAAATAGGGGGCCCCCCCCGAGCAACAAAAACAGACACACACACACACACACACACACACACACACACACACACAGACACCTGGGTGTGGGTCACAGAAGCCGGCGGTGCCTTGTTGAGGCTTTGAGGGCCAGAGGATTTACTGCCCCACGCCGGGAGGACAAGGATGGTGAGCGTTACGATGACCGCAAGTTCATGTGGCTCAACGGCCGCCAAGTGCAGCCTGGAGGCATATGTGGGGGGGGAGGGGGTAGTGGGGTTGGGACCTTTTGGCCCCACGAAAGGCTTTATGTGGGTAAGCCTCCGATACTCCCTGAGCTCAGAAGGAACCGTGCCCGAACAAAGGCCGCAACAGACCAAATAAGGGCTTCGCAAGCCTTAGCCAGGGAAAAAATGGCCCCTTTGACCCCCTTGGTTTCCCTCAAGCCAAAACCAAACAGGGGACACGAACCCGAAACCCGAAAGTCTGAAGGCGATCCCCGTGTCCGAAATCCGAAGCGTGCAATATAGTTTATAAGTTTAGGGTTTGGGGCTGCGCCAGGTATATGTACGCTGCCATGGCTCTGTCCTTCAGCCAGCAGCAGTTGGAGGACCTCAGTGGGGGCAGGCAGGAGCTTGCGAGACCCAGCGAAGTACCCCAAACCCCGAACGTTAGGATTTTGGGGCTTTTGGTTCGGCCTGAAGAGGTTTCCTTGGAGGTTAATGGGTATTGCCGAGTAGCTACCTCCTCTTGGGAGGGGATTTGGGCTTAGGGATTGTTAGTGCCAGGTTGGACCGTGCCAAGCTGATCAAGGACGCCACAGCTGCCGCTGACTTCATGCGCTCGGAGCTTCATTGGCCTTCTTACCCTAGAACCCTCAAGCAGAGGCGCTCCGTGTTTCAAACCCTGATGGCTGCGGTTAAAAGACATGTAGACTTCAAACCCTATACAGCCTAAGCCAACGTGTGGGGATTGCGCACTGTTTGGGTCCGGGGTTAGCTGTTAACCCAAACCCTGAACCCTGAAGAATAAAGAAGCGGTTTGGCAAACGCACCGAGGTACTCCCATGGAGTGCGGGAAAGCGATGGCCAGGCGCCTGGTTTAGGTTTTAGGTTTTAGGGTTTAGGGCTTTTTGGGATTCAACCCACAAATGATGAGAATGTATCGGGTTCCTAATGTTCAAAGCTTTGTGTTTAGGACTTAGGGCCGAGCGACAAGCAAAGAGGCGTCCCTAATCCCCGAAACCCTACCATTTGAATGATTCGAGGGGTTAGGGGCTTAGAGATTTAGAGGTTTGGGGTTCAAGGGTGCTCTTTTTGACGGCTTGCGGGCTTCGAGCACCTAAAACCGTTTGGGGTTTACAGGTTGAGGGCTGAAGGTTTCAACATCTGGCTTTGAGCACATCCAGTGATGGACTTCATCGTTGGTTATGTTTTGGTCTCGGTTTGAGGGGGCTGGATAGGATTTAGGCGATCAATGAGACGCTGAAGATCAAGATGAGCAGCTGTGCAGGTGTATTTCTCTTTGACCCGTCATGGGCAGCCCTACCACATGGAGCGCAAGATCTTTTCGGCGGCTTTCTTGTTGCTTGACGAAGCCTTCTCTTGCTTGCTACCTAAACCCTAACCCTAAACCCTGAACCCTGAACCCTAAACCTCCACCCTGAATCCTACGATTCCAACCTCAAGCGAAAGCTGTTTGGGGTCAGGGCTTTAAGAGTTTAGGGTTCACGTCAATCCCTGAACAAGCTCCAAAGAAATGCACCTTCTTGGGGAATTACTTTGGTCCCCAAAGTAGTTTCTACACAGTTAAAACATGTGGAGATGGACCAATTCTTATCCTACAACCCTAAACCCCGAAAACCCTGAACCCCAAAGTCGTTTTCCTGCAGTTGCGAAATGGGCACATGGACCCTTTGGAAACCCCAAACCCTGAACCCCCAAAACCCTGAACCCAGGACCCTAAACCCTAAGCCCTAAATTCTAAGCCCTAAACCCCTAAAATCCTGAAAGCCCTAAACCCTAAACCCCCAAAACCCTGAACCCCAACCCCAGGTGCCTCGGGCTGGGCGTACTGTCAGCAGCACTGCGGGCAGACGGGTGCTCTGCAAAAGCGGGCGAGCTCGAAGACAGGCGAGGGCGTTTTTCGGCCAGGGGGGATTCAGGGTTTAGGGTTTAGGGTTCAGGGTTTAGGGTTGCATCCGATTCCTGAAGCAGAAGAACCACCAGCCCCAGATCCCTGCCATAAAGAAGCCCCCACATCCCGAACCCTAAGCCCGTAAACTTGAAGTCTCAAGCCACCCCTGAAACTTATTGCCTCACGATCTCAGCCTTCAGTCCTCCTCTTAGGGCCTGAGAGTTTGGGATTTTTGCAGTATGTAGGGTTCGCTCCTACGAAAGTCATGGCAGGTGCGTGGTCCTTTTGAAGCGCATTGTGAGCTGGAGCCACGACCCGAGCCCCCTGGGCAAAGAGGCATTGGATTAGGGTTTAGGGTCGTGCCCCTCAGCTCAACTACAAACCCGCCAACCCTAATCCCCACACCCGAAGCCCCAAACCCTCTACCTATTTCCGCTTTTTGGCAATTACTTGGTTGGGAGGGAATGCGGAATTCGGTTCTCAGATCTTCTAGAAGCGTATCTACTTCCCTGAGTCCCAAGTTTAGGGTTAAGAGTTGCTACGAAGAAGCAGTAGGTACACGTACCTAGCTGTAGTCAGCAGAGTTTCTTCAGAGAATCTAGATCCCAAACCCTAAACCCTAAATCCTAAATCCCTAAATCCCGAAATCCCTAGGTAGACCTAGGATTTCAGGCGACCTCCACGGTAGCAGATACAATCTGCCAATGGTGGCTGCCCGCAGAGGCCTGTGCGGGTGCTCCAAAGACGAGCCCCTTGAATGTGCCCATGATCCTCCTCAACGTTCTGGATGAGCCTCGGCTTGTTGAGGGCTTAAATAGGATCTCTAGGGTTTAGGGTGTAATTAGGGTTTAGGGTTTAGGGTTTAGGGGCAATAGAAGTCCAGCCCTTTATGTCCGCGGTTGAGGGTTTGGGGTCTGCGCTCGGAGGTATAGTAGTTGTACGATATCTGTGCAGAATCCCATGCACAGGCTGCTCCTGTGCGAGAAAATCCGCGAAAGACGGGGCCACCCTGGGCCAAAAACCCAGAAGAACCGAAACCAAAGTATCTGGCAAACTGCGCCCCTTCAGGGTTTAGGGAAAAGGGTTTAGGGTTTAGAGTACACCGCCCAAGCCACAAGACCAAGGAAAACGAACCTTCGAAGTTTTGAATCCTAAGCCGGACACTTCCAGCTCAAGCTCCAAAGGCTAAAATCCGAAGCCCTGGGCCCGTGAACTTTATTTTGTACATCCCCTAGGCAATTCTCCCCCCCCCCCCCCCCCCCCAGCCCCATCACAGGGTGTCTCAGGAGTTGCAGCGCTGCGGTGCGCTCTCGCCGTCGACTGGGGTCGGTTTCGACGTTGCGGCGGAAGAGGCTCGGGGACTCACGAATTAGGGTTAGGGTTTGGGGGATTTAGGATGCAGGGCTTCTTTTTTGTAAGGTTATGTGCTTTGGGATTCTTAATTAGGTGTTTTTGAGCCAATCCTGCAGCAGCCCTCAGGGAGAGGGGGCCCGGCAATTCATTTTGAAGACGTGCCCCACGAAATCGTGCGACGCCCGGAAAAGTTGTCACCGAACGCCTATAAACCCTTAACCAATAAACCTGAAACCCTAACCCATCCCTGACCCCTAAAATTCAGAAGTACACCCTAGCGGCAGGCTTGGTGTGTGGAAGAGATTTTGAAGCACGTCCGCTTTGAGGCGCGCGGCCTCCCTGCATTTAGTTTAGGGAAGGTTTGGGGTTTAAAGGAGTCGAGGGTTCGCTGTTGCATGAGGAACCCCAAACCCTAAACCCTAAACTCCTAGACCCCAAACCCCAAGCCCCAAACCCCAAACTTAAAGCCCCTCAACCCTCGCAACACACAAACTGTATTTACACTTAATTAAGCAAACCTCAAAAACTCCAAAAGCCAGTCCATGACTCTCGAAGGCCATTACAACTTTACAGGTTCCTTTTATCCTTCTATTTCTTGGGGTGGCTTAGGGTTTAGGGTTTAGGGTTTAGGGGAACAGCAGCTGCTGGCAGGAGAAGAAGGTTCTTGAGGCGGTCTTGGCAGATGGATCCCCTTGCCCGGGCTATGATGGCCGTCACATGAGCCCTCGACTGCCACAGAGTGACAGGGGACTGGGATCTGAGGGTTTTGGGATTTTCGCACCTCCTCACTGGTATGATTTAGGAAATGTTTGGGCCCCTTGTCAAAGGACAGTGTATGTTATGAGTATACCTGTGTAAGATATCCAGAAGGGGGCTTGCGTGTATCCAGGCAGTCTTCGGCACTCGGATATTAACCTCTTCTTTGTGTTCACATGTGTCTTATATTATTTTATCATATATGGGGGGATGAGCACATATAGATAGACCGGTCCCCTTGTATCGTCTGTAGAGGAGGACAGGGGCTTGGGCGGCGAACAAGACGCGAGTCCACACTCTAAACTCCCTAAATTCGGAAGCTGAAACCTTACGCGGGTGTACGGTCCAATGTTCAGGGAAGCTTTTACCCTACATCCATGCATCGTCCATGCATACTTATACGTAGCATTCGAAGACGGGTGAGAAGTCCCTACTGTACTAACCCTACTCCTGATTACCTCCAAGTAGACATTGCCTTCAACCTTACACCAACCCTCGGGCCGAATGGCCTAAAGTGTGGCGAAACCCAAAACCCCAAGCCGCAGGTACTGGCTTCAGCTGATTGCACAATAGTCCTATCGGCCTTCCAGAAATTGGAGTGACAGACACACACACGCACGCATTTGCAAGCACAGTTCTGGAATTTCTAGCATGAATTTTGAGAGCAAAGCCGACGACATCATGGATACATATGTGTTAAGTACCTAAAGTAAGGATACAACCGTATATAGTTACCATACTATCTTCTCGCCCTTCTTACAGCTACCCATTGTACTGTCCCCTAAATAAGGTTATATATACCATGCTTGCAACCCTACTACCCATGAGACCCTAGTTTAGCCCCGAACCCTACACCCTAAACCCTCAACCCTCAGCCCTAATCCCTAAACCCCGTACTGTCCATTTCAGGATACCCGGGCACGCCATCGAGGCCGGCTGGTTTCTGTTACGCTACGCGGAGCGCACGGGCGAGGACTCGCTGGTGCAAACGGCGGAGCACATGATCTCCTGGTCTTTCGAAGAAGGCCCTGTCTGAATTCCAAACCCTCTACAGGCCCCAAACCCCTCAATCATCCCTGAACCCCTAAACCCCCAAACCCTTAAAATCCCTAAGCCCCTACTAGCAGCCCCAAACCCCTAAGCCCAAAACCCGAAACCCTGCATGCTCACGGACCGAAGAAGCGCTTCAGGGCCTAGACGCTCGTGAGCCGCGACTTGCTGAGGCTGGGACCCGAAGCATGGAGGCCTCTTCTACTTCCTGGACGCGGAGGGCCGTTCGCCCGTGTACCTCGAGTGGGATATGAAGCTTCTTGGAGGACCCAAAAAAACGCAGCAACTGAGCCCAGGCTGAGTAGATTCTGGCCGCAGGTGTTGTGCGCCAAGTCCTCAGGTATACTTCTGATAGTGGCCCCCCCTTCCCCGCCCCCCAACCCTGACCGACCCATGACAGGCTTAGGGTTGGGGGTTTCGTGCCTGCACCTGAAAATGAGTCCTTGATTAGCTTCCAGGTCTGACTGGCGGAGTTCTCCTAGGAGACACAAGGTTGCCCTCTGAGTTTTAAGGGAAGTTATTGCCGGACAACCCTAAACCCTAAGCCCTAAACCCTAAACCCTAAACCCTAAACCCTAAACCCTAAACCCTAAACCCTAAACCCTAAACCCTAAACCCTAAACCTTACCCCCAAACCCTACTCTTGCTTTAGTCTGCAAACCTAAGCCCTTGTCCTTCAAAACCCCATGGCCTAGGCTATGGTGGCCACACAATGAGGCGATGATCGCCTACGCCCTACTCTACGAGCGATCGCGGCAGGCGTTTAGGGTTTAGGGTTGGGGATTCCTAAATCCTAAATCCTGAATCCTGAACCCTAAACCCTAAAACCCGGCTTGCTCTTATGCTGTAGAAGGGGCTTTGAGAGGGGATGGACTCTACATTGGGCGCAGTCTCTCAGAGTTTAGGGGTTTATGGCGGGAACCCCGAAAACTCCCAAAGAAGGGACGCCCTCAAGCGGCCGCAGGACGCTCACCTGCAGAAATTCGTGCAGGTGGGAGACTGGGCTCTGCGACACTTCAGCGATGCCGCTGGTGGGGGCGAGTGGTCTCTAGGCTACAAGCAGGGTAGAAGTGCCCGAAATCACGTTAGAACTATAAAAGGACCCTGAACCCTAAACCCTAAAACCTAGAACCTGCTGTCGGCTACGCGCAAAAATCTCGATGTGAAGAGGTGCAGCGGCTCATGGTCACACAGCTTTGGCTCCACGTAGTGCCGCCATTCTACCGTTGGGTCCTTCGCGTTTAGGGTTACGCTCTTAAACCAATATCAATCAAGCAAAGAAAAGTCATCTTGATGGTGCGAAGAAACTGACGAGTCTGGGCCTATGGGGCTTCAAGAAAATGAAGAAGCTGATAGAAACTGTTGGGTGGACAAAGATCCAAGGTATGGATACCTCAGCCGATTCTGGGCAAGATATGAGCTCAATCTCTTCACCGGAAAGATGTGTGGTGTGCGTGCTGCGGATTCAGAATTTAGGGTAAATCCCAAAGCACCCTCAACCCTGAACCCTCAACCCCAAAGCCTAACCCCTAAACCCCCAACCTCAAACCCTGGACCCTGGACCCTGAACCCTAAACCCTAAACCCTACAAAGGGCATTCCGGCCAGCCGAGCGTTTTTGTTTGGGCACCTGGGTTTCGGAGCTTTTTTTGTCTGGTGGGATCCTATAAGAGCTCAGGGTTTCTGAGCTTCGTTGCGGGATCCTTCAGCTGAGTTCAGGGTTAGGGTTTAGGGTTTAGGGTTTAGGGTTTAGGGTTTAGGGTTTAGGGTTTAGGGTTTAGGGTTTAGGGCTGCAGGACTTTTCGGCTGGGTGGTGGTGGCTCAAGGTCGGGGAAGCCAGGCGGAAAACATTGGGATATTTTTGGAGTCTTGGGGGGCATGGCTACTGGGAGCTTCATGGGAAGTCGTATGCACTCAGAACCTCCCGCTCCCCCCAAAAAAGAAGATGAAAAAGACACAAAACAAATAACAACCATACAGTTGTAGTCAATTTGTCCTACATACTGCAGCTATAGCTGCCCATGAACCTCCTATAGCAGGGCTTGGGGAACCTTCAGGCCCTAAGGCCCTAAACCCCAAAAGGTCGAGGCCCCAACAGGACGCCCCCCCCCTCCCTTAAGGGTGAGGGGTTTAGGGTTTAGGGTTTAGGGTTTGGGGTTTGGGGTTTGGGGTTTGGGGTTTAGGATTTAGGATTTAGGGTTTAGGGGCATGGAGCTGAGGAGAGGGGCGCGTGACGCACCGCTTCAAGGGAGGGCCTTTCAAAGGCTGCTTCCACGTGCCTCGCTGCCTTCTGATGGTCTACCAAATCCTAGGCAGGTGCCTGGAGCCTACCCCGCAACCCCCTTAAACCTCAAGTACCGCCTTGTTCCCTCCGAGCTGTTCTTGCAGCGCTCATAATGAGAATAGTTATTATTGCTGCCACAGAGTGCCACAGAGAGCTCTGCGCGCGCCCTGCCTTACAAAAAGCGCGAGCTGAGTTGGGGCCTCCAGGCGTAAGATTCGGCTTCAGCTCTCTCTGAGTATGGGGGGGTGGGGGGTTTTCCTTCTCGTGGTCCTGTTTGGGGTCATAATTTAGGGTCTCAAGCCCTGATAAGGCCTGGACCCTTAACCCTCAACCCTTTCGTGGTGGGGGCGGGGAGGTTGGTTCGGTTGCAGAAGCGCCTACTACAAGCCCAAAGCTAAAATCCCCATGGAACCCCGCTTAGGGTGGAGGGTTTGACTCTGCCATCCTCCTCCTCTTCCAATTTTCCCACTACGAGGCACAAACCCCAAGCCCCCGAAGTTTCACTCAAGCGCGAAAACCCTAAATCCCTGTCCCCAACCTGCATCAGGAGTGGCACGTCTTCGATTTCTGGAGTGGCAACTATTCCCGCCACCGCGTCACCGGGGACAGAGACCGCAACTTGACCGTACACATCGCCATATATATATATATGCCATATATATATATATATATCCCTCTCCCCCACCCAATTTTGACGCCTCAACATCAAACATATTTGCAAATAATGCATGATGAGGTAGACATGAGGGTTACCTGCAGCAGCTGTCATGCCATGCTTTCCTATATTCGTGTAATCAACGCGCTAGGCTGTTTCGCCCCAAACGCCATCCAGATCCAGCCTCAAACATTCAGCCCTAACAACCCTCAGCCCGCTAAGTTTCTTCGACGAAAGAGAAAGCAGCCAGTCCCCGACGCGAAATATCCCCTTCAACACATGTTGATACGCGAGTTTCTTTGGAGTTAGTCTCTGAGTTGAGGTGTTTCATGTTATATACCCTGAACCCATACAAAAGGGCTACACTAAGCCCCAAAGCCCAAACCCCAAACCATCAACGCCCCAAACCGTAAACCGTAAACCCTAAACCCTAAACCCTGAACCCTAAACCCTAAACCCTAAACCCCTTTGCAAGGACCCTGAGAGCCAAGGCATCGGGCTCGGGCCCGTCGCTGCCCGCTGTGGGCAGCTCTTGGCACTGCGGCCTTATCGGCCAAAGGCCGGTTTAGGGTTTAGGGTTTAGGGTTTAGGGTTTAGGGTTTAGGGCTTTTGCTTTTTTGTGGGGGTTGGGGGGGGGGGAGTGGGATGGTTTTTGGGGGTGAAATGGGTTCGGGGGGGGGGGAGGAGAAGTTTGGGAGGGGGTTCTATAAACCCTAAACCCCTAAACCCTAAACCCTAAAGGTGTAAGGAACTCCAGACCCAAAGCCAGCCCCAGTTGCCACCATGCAGCCCCTCTGGGTACCAGGCCGACTACCTGGGCTCTGACATCCACGCTACTCGGCGAACATGGGGCCATCCTGTGGGCTCAAGGGCTTTAAGGGGTTTTAAGGGGTTTGGGGGGTTTAAGGGGTTTTAAGGGGTTTTGAGGGGTTTGAGGGGTTTAACGGGTCTTAAGGGGTTTTCAGGGGTTTAAGGAATCAGGATTTCGCCCATGCCCAACCTTTACCGGGTCTCAGGCATGTGTTTGTTTTGGAGTCTGGGGTTGAGGTATTCTTTGTGCTGCCCCTTCAACGAAGAATCCGACAAAAGCTCTTAAACCGAGCCGGCAACAAGCTGACTTGGGCTTCTTCAATGTCTCAGCCGTATTATGCACCGTTCAAGCCGCCCTTGGCAAGGGCTGAGGGTTTGAGGTTCAGGTTATCTTTTTGGAGGGTTATACGTTAGCCCGCAGCCCTCAACCCGAATCTGTGCAGGTCTCCTGCGGACGCGAGGTCGCCCTATGGGAAGCCGAGGAGGAATGCTCTGTTCAAGGGGTTTAGGGTTTAGGGTTTAGGGTTTAGGGTTTAGGGTTTAGGGTTTAGGGTTTAGGGTTTAGGGTTTAGGGTTTAGGGTTTGGAGGCTTAGCGCCTAGGGCTTAGGTCTCAGGGTTTAGGGTGTCGCAGGCTCGTCAACAACATCTCAGGCTCCGCGTTGCTTATTGTATATTCGTTGAATTTGTTATGCCCGATATATGCAGTGAATTCATTGTGCCGGTTGGATAAACCTTCACATAGCTGACACACACACACACAAAAAATAGCTTTTGCTTGTGGACATGTCATGTACTTGAAGCTGATGCTTGTGATTTAGGAACGTTTGGGTGCGAACGCATGTTTGCTGACAGACCCTAAACCCTAAACCCTAAACCCTAAACCCTAAACCCTAAGCCCTAAGCCCTAAACCCTAAACCTAGCGCCCAGAGCCTGTCTACTTAGAGAGAAGTCGGGACCCAGGGGCTTCAAAGTGACTTTAAAGTCGACCGGGATCGAAGTCTGCAGATGCAAGATGCCTCCAGAAACTTTAGGGTTTAGGGTTTAGGGTTTAGGGTTTAGGGTTTAGGGTTTAGGGAGGCATCTTGAATCTTGAGTCTTGGGGTTTCTCGGAAATGGGGGTGGAGTCAGCTTTAAAGTGACGTTAAAGCATATACCTTCTGGGCCACACTATTCCAAGTACAGACGGGCCCGGACTCTGTTCCACATACCGATATCGAGGGGGAGTGGCTTACCCTGGCATGCCCCCCAAGAAAACATCAAACCTAGCCAAATCCTCGCCTAACCCCTCCCCCTCCCCCCCTCCCGGGTTTAGGGTAATTGAAGTTTCCCCTATTCCTTCATTCTAGACCCTGATCACGAATCATGTTGGGGGAATAATTTGTCCCTAACGCCCGAAGCTCCCCCAACAAAATCCCCAACCCCGAACCCCTATCCCCTAACCCCTAACCCCAACCCCCAACCCTAACCCCTAAACCCTGAACCCTGAACCCTGCAAGCCCAGATGCACCTTAAGCTGTCGACCCCAGCCCGGCCCCTTCGTGGGCTTTCCCACGAAATCCTACAACCCTCAAGCCCTTAACCCAAGCCACTAAACCCTGTTAGGGTTTAGGGTGTAGGGTGTAGGGTTCAGAGATTATGGTTTGGCGGCAAAGTCTAGCATTTTCGCAATCGAGCAGGCCGACGACGGATCTCGGCGCCTCCGATTCAGCATCCGCGTCGGCCGCCGGCTTTCGCGGCCCCAGGCGGGTGAACGTTTGGGGTATGAGATCTGCAGTCGGTTGGTGAAAGCCTTTTCTGTCTGTTCATCATGCCCTTGTTTAAGGTAACATTCTATCTGATTACCCCAAGGTAGGGTTTACAATTCTGTCCGGTTATGCTTTCTCCCCTCGACTGTTCGAGAAAAGGGCTGCTCTACGTAGTAGGATGCTTCATGAGAAAGAGTGCCATGTCGCCCGCAGTGGAGAGCGGGGTCGCAGGATTTGATGCACCCCAAACACTCACAAAGCCCTCACCCTGACTCTCCAAAGGACCCTCACCACATCCGGAAATACTACCTTCCCTATACCCCCTCCGCGTCTCCAACCAAACCCTCAACCCGAAACCCCACACTGCAATATCAAGCCTTGAAGGGGTTTAAGGGGTTTAGTGTTTGGGATTAAACGGTTAAACCCTAAACCCCCTAAACCCCCTAAACCCCCTAAACCCCCTAAACCCCCTAAACCCCCTAAACCCCCTAAACCCCCTAAACCCCCTAAACCCCCTAAACCCCCTAAACCCCCTAAACCCCCTAAACCCTAAGCCTCCTCCAGGTGTGGCTCTTCTTGCCCGGCTGCCGCCAGCCGCCCTTTGGCGCAGCCGAGGCTGTGCAGGCCTGGGCTTCTGTGGCCCCGCAAGGGTTTAGGGTTTAGGGTTTAGGGTTTAGGGTTTAGGGTTGCCCACACCCATAGGTTGCACGTATGGTCTGCCCAGGGTTTGGGGTTTAGGGTCGAGGGTTTAGGGTTGAGGGTTTAGGGTTTAGGGGTTTTTGGGTTCAGGGTTTAGGGGTTGTAGGTTTTAGGGCTTAGCGGTTGTGGGTTTTAGAGTTTAGGGTTTAGGGGTTTTAGGCTATAGGGTTTTGGGGTTCTAGGTTCTTTGGGTTTAGGGCTTTTAGGGTTTAGGGTTTAGGGCTTTTGTGATCTGGTGGGTTGAGGGTTGAGGGTTTAGGGGTTTTAGGGTTTAGGGTTTAGTTGTTGTAGGCTTCAGGGTTTAGGGTTTAGCACCCGCGTCGCCAACTCCGGAGTTCGTGTCATGAAGTTGCGTGTCCTGTCAAGCCATAAAGAGTCCTGAACCCTCGGCAGGGGGAGGTTTCGCATGTCGCTACGGGTCTCTAAGGCAACAGCATGGGCAAACTACAAGTACTGGCCGTTTTTTTTTTTTGGGGGGGGGGGGGGGGTTTAGGGTTTACGGTTTAGGGGTTCAGGGTTTGAGGGTTTCGGGTTTTAGGGTTTAGGGTTTGAGGGTTGAGGGCTTTAGGGTATAGGGTGTAGAGTTTCAGGGTTTAGGTTTTAGGGTTTGAGGGTTCAGAGTTTGAGAGTTTAGAGTTTAAGGGTTTGAGGGTCGAGGGTTTTAGGGATTAGGGTTTAGGGCTAAAGGTTGTAAGGAATTAAGGGCTTCTTTGGGGCTTAAGGCTTTATAAAGGTTTAAGGCATTATATGGGTTTAAGGAATTAAGGGTTTAAGGGTTTTTTCGGATTTATTCAGGGTTTTTCCTCTGTAGGGCCGATCGAGTTTGGGGTGCCAGGTTTTGGGGGTTTAGGGTTTAGGGCTTAGGGTTTAGGGTTTTTGGGCACATGGCTCATCATGGCTTCCACTGGGGATATAGGTGCTCACGGCTGTGAGTGCTATACTGCAGTGCTAAGCCCAGACTCCTAGAGCTTCCACAAAAGAAGCCCTAAACCCTAAACCCTAAACCCTAAACCCTAAACCCTAAACCCTAAACCCTAAACCCTAAACCCTAAACCCTAAACCCTGAACCCTGAACCCTGAACCCTGAACCCTGAACCCTGAACCCTGAACCCTGAACCCTGAACCCTGAACCCTGACCCTGAACCCTAAACC